TTTATCAATGAAAATATTCCTATAAATTCTCAATTATATTTTGACCAATCTCACATGTAAAAGGTTGATTGTGAATGAAAAACAAGAATTTCAAAAGAAGGAAGATGATTAGGGGTTTTCTTTTTTCAAGGGAAAAGTGACATGAAAGGGTGTTATTAAGTCCATGTAAGCGTCTTTACACAATATAATATCCATGTCAAATGTTCCCATCAAGATAACATGCCACATAAGTAAAATTTAACGAGAGACCAAAAAGGAAGCTGGATTTTAAACTTTAGGGACTAAAAAAGAGATTTTTTCAATACAAAAACCAAAAAACTTTTGTTTTCAATAATAAAGGGACCCAGAAAGGTATTTAACCTTTCTAATTTTTGAAGTACTTATTCCCTTGATTCTTCTTACTTAATCCACCCAAATCAAAGTAGTCACCTTTTTAGGTGCGTATTTCATTTTTAAACTTTTAGGTGATTTTGAATAGCAAATTTATGGTAATTTAGTTAGTTAAATTTGGAATTTTAATAAATACTTAATTGACCATTACCAAGAGTACTTAATTTACTTAAACTCTTTATAAAAGACATATTTAGATAAACATGTTGATATAATGAATTGTTTTTCCCTCTGTGCTAGTGGCAGATGCGGATTTTTATCAATCAAAACTCCTGAATAAACAATTGGTTTGATTGATCTAACGCTGTGTTGTTGGATAAAAAATAGGTTAAATCCCCATTTTAGTCCCCGAATTATTGTACGGACTCCCAATTTGGTCCTTGACTAAAGAAATCCCTGATTTAGTCCCTAAACTATTATACGAACCCTCAATTTGGTCCCCACTGTTTATAATTTGACCTAAGTTGATCCTTAAACTATTGTACGGACCCCCAATTTGGTCCGTGAGCTATTATTTAACAGAAGGACTAAGTTGGGACCAAATTGGTAAACAGTAGACCAAATTGAGGATCTGTATAATAGTTTAAGGGGTTAGTGGCCCCCCTAAGGCCACAAGGGTTCCATGATTCTATTCAGATACTATGATTTTGCGAAGGGGCTGCCCTTGGTCATGAAATCTTTAAGCCTAAGGCATCCTAGATTATTTCTTCAGTTCTGCTTTTGCTTTAATTTCTTTCTTTTGTTAAAAACTTTGTTTGCAAAAGAGATAACAGCTAGCATGAGTTTGGTTCTGGTTTGGGTAGGTAAAATGATAGTATGACTTGCTTTGTTTCTTTGGAGGAGGTATTCCCTGGAAGGAGTTGATTGTTTAGTAGGTTCTTCTGTCACCAATTCAAAGGAGCAATCTCAAACGACCAAGGACTGCCAGAGGATCTTCAGCCTCACTCTGCCTTCCTTTCATCCCAAGCTCATGATGCTTGCTTTCATCTACCTCACCAAGACTTTGAAGGCCTGCTTCTCAAGTCCACTCTACATTAAACCACCGGAGGATGTGCGACCTGTTGTTAACAGGAGTAATTCCTTCCCTGCTTTTCTTCATCTGCAAGCTTAGCAGCTCTCCTTTCTGGTGTTATTTCAAGTGTTTTGTTTCTGTGTCACTGTTTTTTTCTCATGTTTTGTGTTTTGATGGTCTATAAGCTACCTTTTATTTCTGGTTAATATAGTAGTTATGTTTTAATGCCCAAAAAAAAAAAACCTAAGAGAAATAAAGAATTAAGGATGAAAAAGGAAAGAGAAGCAATTAGGTGTTTAATTTGAAGCGATAATATCCATGCATTATAATTGGCTTAACTCTAATAGAAAATAACACATAGATTCT